TTTTTAAAAAATTAGTTTAAAAATTATAAAAAATTAGTAAACAGTATTTTTACAGTGTTTATTTTACAGTTAAAATAAAGTTTACAAATAAAGTGTAATGTTACAACTAATCATGGATCCCTTTAAACACTATAAAATTCACTAACATCTGTGATCTCACTGGGCTTTACCTGGTTAAATAAAGATTAAATAAACAGTAAATAAAACAACATATTGCCATTTAATGGGCTGACTCCTAAATGAATTCATTGCAGATGTCGTGCCCGGTGATTATTTTCAATAGTTTCAATAAAATACTAACCCTGCCAACAAACGGAACATGCGCTAAACATGATCGCTCTGCCCGCCGGMGATAAGACATAAAAACAAAAGAATATGTAAATACTCATCCCATCCGTCACTGCAGGAGGAAAACGAAGTCACACCTGCACTCCTCACTTCTCACACGCTCACATCACACAGCAGACTTCATGTTCCAGCTGTTGCTCACTGATATTTGCTGCAGCTGCTACCATGTTTTAGGACATCTTTAATTCCTTCTTCTTCTTTTTTTTCCTTTTCAAGAATGTTCAAAAAGTAAGGAGGAAGGCTCAACAGATAAAAGAGCCGAGGCACAAGCTGGTTGCTTTCGGGAGCGCTGCTGGATTCATCAGTGACATTTCTTTCTGTTCTACCTTTGAAACATTAGAGAGCTGTCTCTCCGGCCCTCTGAGAGATAAATATGTTTGTTCTTCCTTCTCCTATTGCACTGCTGTCGTCATCCCTTATATTATTGTCTCAACAGTGCTCTATTACTGTCAGTTCTTTTGTTAGCTACCCAAAAAATGTTATACACACAGCTGAGAAGCGAAGGTCTTGCCTTATTTTAGCACTTTCATGTGTTTAGCTGCAATGTGATCATGCGTTACTTGCACAAGGGCACTTATTTGTATCTGTACTCTGCTCTGTTACAAAATCCTCAAAGAATTATACGTTTCACCAAGGGCATGCCACGGAGCGTCGACGCCTGCAGCCAAAAGATATGTCACCATGCTGTCACAGCAAAGCTGTATTTATGTGAAGAAAAAAAAAGAGTAGCATCGAGCTTTTTATTGCACTCAATAAAACTTCTCAAGTGCTGAAATATTTATGGAAAAGTCAGGCGAAAATATCTTTACTAAAATATTCTCCCAGTGAATATTTGTTGAGATGATAGCTAAAAGTGTAATCCATACGTTGGACGACAGCAAAGGGAGGGTCAGCAACTTTTATAATGAAAAGTGCCGTCCTCAGCTCGCTAAATGCAACTTAGGGGCAGAGCTGCAGAGCGCACGACGAGCTAAACAAACGGTATCACACAAAAGGTGCGGAGGTTTAATATTTGCTAATGTAGCGTTTCATTTTTGAGAAAGCAACAAGAAGCAGGCCCTGGTTTGGTTATCATCATAGCCTAGCCTGGAGGAAGACTTCTGCCTTCTACCTATCTCCTTAAGTAGCTCCTTTCCTTCTTGTGTTCTCTTCAGTTTTCACTTCTTTATTCTCCCGTAAAAGTCTTTCTTCAGCACTCCATCACAGTCTTTTGTCCTCTCTTCATATTTCCCGTCGTACCTTCACCTCACCATCTTATCGTTGTCAATTCGCATATTTCCATACATCATCTTCTCCGCTTAAAACCCGTCCTCTATATTCTCCTCCTTTCATCTGATGTTTGACTCGATGCTATTCCACAACACAGAGCTTGCCTGCGTGAATTCGTGACAGCCTAATAAAAGCCTTCTAATGGTGGATATTATTATGTTATTCTTACCTTTTTAGAGCCTGCGTAGGAGCCAGGGACCCGTACTGTGGTTGGGATCTGTTGCTAAAGAAATGCACTACCCTGGAGGACAGTGTCAGAATGAGCCAGTGGGAGCAGAGCATTACAAAGTGTCCTGTGAGTATGCAACTGTGCAAAGAGTAAAGCTGCAAACACTTTAGAATTTCCTTTTATGTCTGTATAAATGTCACCCTAAACATCGTCAGGTTTTTCTGTGTTCCTCAGAGTGAACCAGGCAGTTTATCTGTAGGAAATAAAGACCTAACATTCCTTGAAGGAGCCCATATCACCTGCTGCCTTTCATGCCAGCGTGTTAGACTAGGATGTTGAGAAATAAGAGAGTTGTTGTCATTTTGGTCAAACCTTGAAAATCTCTTGTTGCATTAAAATATGTTACACTCTGAGAATGTGCTGTGACTCTCAGATACTACCACTTTGAAAGGTAGCTCAATACCAATAAATTTGACTGGGTTATTGCCATTTTTGGCTTTGTCGCAATTCATAGGCGGCCACAGTCTACGTGGGCCATAGGCCACTCGGGTCTTCTGCATAAATGATGCTGATGCTCTGATAGTTCCTGTTAAAAGGGAGTTTTTCCTCTCCACTGACACCAGTGTTCTGCTCAGAATGGGAGACTGTGATGAAGTGTTTCAACGCAATCTGCTGGCTTCTTTAGATTGTTTTTGTGTGTACAGTTACCTGAGACGACGCATGTTGTGACTTAGCGCTATATAAATAAACTGAATTGAATAAATGGCTGCACAAAATGCAGTTTTACTAGAAAAAACAAATAAATAAATGAAAAGCATTAATCATTTAGGTTTGCTTCCAGTATCAGTACTTGCAAATGCATTTTGTTTAACTTTTCAACGCAGCAACATTTTCTTCAGCTAAGTTGCTTAACTTACATTCTTCGGTACATAAGTTTCCAAACTCCACCATAAAAAAAGGAAAAAAAAAACGTAGCCATCTTTGCTTTCCTGTTAATTTGTTGACAGTGCAATGATCTCTGGGATGCCATCGGCTGCGTAGGATACTCAGATGCAGCCTAAGTTTTCAGGGTTTGGTCGACCACATGAGAAGGCACCTAAAAATTGGGACAGCCAACGGCATGGGGCAGTGACGTAATCGACCGACGTTGGCAGCAGCTTATGAATTGAGACACAGCCAATTGTCTGTGGCGGCCATCTTGAATTGGATTGACTCCAAAATTAAATCAGTTGTAGATGTATATCTACTATTTAAATTAATCCAGTGCTTTATGAGATATTTTGCTAACAGACAAACACATGAACACTTGCACATACACACAGACATTCTGTGTGCATGTGTTTGTGGTTTTTTGTTTTATTGCACAATGCTGCATACTTACTTTCAGTACCTCCTTTGAACTGCAGCTAAAAGTTTCAAGTAGCTGTTGATCATCCTGCAAATTAGGCCCTCGATGCTGAACACTAACAACCGTACACAGCAGAGCAACAAATATTAAACTTTTGTTGTTGAGTAATAAACAAAAACATTAAGCTGTAAAATGATGCAAACCCAGAAAATAAGGAGGATGCGGTTCAAACAGCAGAAGCTCGTGCACCTTTTAGGAAGCACACATGTGTTTTTAGCTCACTGTTTAAGATACCCAATAAAAAATTATAATACTTTCATAAAATGTAATTTCAGTGTGTTGATGCATAGATTCATCACACAGTAAGAGAGAGAGGGCTGCAAGAAGATGAGTGGGCTAGCAAAAAAGATGAATGTGTAAGCACCCTGGTTTTAATGAATATTTAACACTTCTGATTTTATTACACTTGGGGTTTTTACTTTTTTATTTAGGAACCGACTCTGCCAAGGATAGACATCATCCGGCAGCATCTAGACAAATATGGGGGAGCTGTTAGACTAAATTAATTCAAGACTACTTAACTAATCTATTACATGATATTTGATGTTTTTTTTCGTGGTTCTATTTACAAAAATGATTACTGGTACGCAGAAAAACACTGTGTCACCACATTTTGTTAAATAGTCATGAAGGGACTGTTGCAGCACATTTATCAGCCCGTTTGTCCACACTACTGTAACTTTTTTTTTCTCCTGGCTTTTTAGTTTGATCCAAAGCTGGATATGGCAGCGATGTTACACTGCATTCCTTAGAGAACGTGCTCTTCAAGTGATCTTTCGTCTTTATTCTGTCAGTACTTTATAGAAATAACTATAAAGCTAGTCACAACCAAGAGAGACATACAGTACGCTTCCGGACATCTAATCTCTGGAGGAATTTTTGGCTCTCAAACGTTTTAAAAGCCATCATGAATTTTTGTTCCAAGGTTAAATAAACTTGACGTTTCTATTCAGTCGTGTTCAAATGACGGTGTTATTTTCTGTGAGTGGTATAGCTGTGCTGCTTGTCAAACAGATTTAAAATGATTATTTCTGGAAAATGCTCAGATGGCAGGGGCGGAGCCAGAGGGGTGGCCAGGGTGGCCAGTACCACCTCTGGCACCTGACTGGCCACTCCAGGTGCCACTCCAAAAAAAATTGGCCAGTGGGTGACGACCTTAGATTTGGTATTTGCAATTAGATTTTATTGAAGATTGTTTTCTGATGCTTTTGTGCTATATAATGTTTCAGCTGTGTATGTTTAAAATGGCTGAAATATAGTACTTAGTAAAATTAGCATTAGTATTGTTGCTTAGCTTAATTTGGGATTACCATGTGATCATTCTTAGCTACTCCACAACAAATTTAAGTCTTAAAATTACTGAATTATATGCTTTTAAAGTTAGCTGTGGTGGCCATCTTGAATTCTTCTTTAGCATTTAGAATTTGGTAAAGATTGTTTTTGGATACTTCTACACTAACCTTCTTTCTTTTATATATATAATTTTTAGCTATAGTCAAACAAAATTTTGTCTCAGTGTTTCTTAAATTAGCTGAATTAAAGCAATTAGCTGTGGCGACCATCTTGAATTTTCTAATCCAGAGTGCCTTTCTTTATTTGTATGTGCCACCCTAAAAAATACCTTGGCCACCCCTAGCAACAAAAAGTCTAGCTCTGCCCCTCTGCAGTGAAACTGGGGTCAACTAATGCAGGAAAGATTGGCTATTGTCGAGATGTTTCCCACAGTTGAAAGAAATATCTCTAAAATGATACACGTTAAATTGTTTGGAAATGTCCTTCATACCCTTCTAAGATGGATGGGCAGCAGCGTTCACTTTTCGAAGAACATTTGACTCTTAAACTACAGATTAATTTCTTTTTAATAAATGTTAATCAGACAGAAGAAATGGTTTGCTACATCCATTTCACCTTTGAAAACACTAAAATTGTTACACTTTTGTCAGTTTTACTAAGTGTTGTTGTAGTTGTTGAGCCATACTTATTGCAGAATACCTCTACTTAAAACTGTGGCAATAAGTGTCTCAGTGAACAGAGCTTGGCATTCCTTCAAGGAAATTTAGGCCAATAGTTTACTTTTTTTAAGCCACTTCAGTAGAAAACAGAACTTATTAGTTTCTTCGTCATCAGTGACTTTTTAAATTTTATTTTTAGAGAAGTAAATCTAGAGAAGAAGAAAAAGGAGAAATGTCATGGGAAAGGTTGAAATAGATTAGAAGATATGTGAAATGTACACCAAAAAACACAAGACAACACACCCGACATCTGTCTGCACAGCAACAAAATACTTATAACCTTGCTGAAAAGTATGCATACATACATACATACATACATACATACATACATACATACATACATACATACATAC